AAACTGGATGTTTTCCAAAAGTTACTGAAGGGGGGCTGGGGATGTGGCTCAAGCGGTAGTGGGCTCACCTGGCATGCATGTGGCCCGGGTTCGATCCTCAGCATCGCATACAAACAAATAAATAACTGAAATAAAGGTATGGTGGCCAACTACAAATAAAATAATAACAACAACAACAATAATAATAATTAAAAAAAATAAAAAATAAAAAGATCTGTGGATGTGGCTCAGTGGTAAAGCACCCCTGGCTGCTTAACCAACAGACAAAAATCACAATCATGGAGGACAAGGTAGTTTTCTATGCTACTGAGTTGGAAAACGGATGCCAGGAAGCTGGCTTGCATGTAAAACCCTTCTGGGGAAAAAACTGGGCGATAGGATGGCGTTACAGTTTTCTGTCTCCAAGGGCCAAGGCGAGTCATAAGCTGGCTCTACCTTGTCTGAATGGGAAGAAGAGGTAGAAAATCCAAAAGGAAACCTGACGGAAAGAGATCTGGGGACAAAGTGAATGCTTCAAAAACAAACTGAGGTCTGACAGGAAGTGCGGGCTGGATGCTGGATGAACTTCACCTATGACTTGGAAGGAAAAGCGGACAAAGTCCTAAGGAGAAAGCCCTTCTTTGGATATCTTCAAGCACCACATGAAGCAGAGGAAGCCTCACAACTAAAGGGAGGCATGCTGGGTATGGAAAGGTAGGGGAGGGAGCAGTTGTTCCAGGAGGACCTGTGAGTGTCCCCAACACACCTCCAAAACCCAGCCAGCACTTTGTGCTTAATAGTTGCTCTTCAGAAATTTTGGTTAAATTTATACACATAGGATCTCATTCACCTACACCACCAGCAAGTCTTTCTCCTTGTAAGAAGCTTCTAGATGCAGCAGGAGAGAACAAACAAGCTAGGAAGGTACCAGGAAGTTTGAAAAAGACTCCAGGAGCCACACCCAAATGAGCAGATGTGAGTTGGGCTCCGTAGTTGTAGTGTCTCTCACCAGCCCAGCTGGACTTGACATTGGTGGGGCTGGACATCTTCACTTTGCTGATGTCACCTGACAAGAGTGCTGGAATTGAACCGAAAGGACTTTAAAAGAAATAGAAGATTCTCAAGTTAGAGATGTTTAAAAACCAAGCCACCATGTGTGTACTACATTACAAAGTGACCTTTTGAAGAAGAAGAAGAAAAAAAAAATCTCACATATTTGTTTTCAGTTTTACTTTCTTTAAATTTACACTCAGGTGTAGTGGCACCTGCCTATGATCCCAATAACTCAGGAGGCTGAGACAGGAGGATGGCAAGTTTGAGGACAGCCTCAGCAATGTAGCCGCTCAAAATGAAAAATAAAAAGGCCTGTTTCTAAATAAAAAATAAAAAGGGCTGGGGATGTGGCTCAGTGGAAAGAACTCCTGAGTTCAATCTCCAGTGCCAAAAATAAATGCTTTTTTTAATATTTAATTTTTAGTTTTAGGTGGACACAATATCTTTATTTTATTTTTATGTGGTGCTGAGGATCGAACCCAGTGTCTCATGCATGCTAGATGAGCACTCTACCACTGAGCCAAGACCTCAGCCCCCCCCAAAATAAGTGCTTTTTTTTAAAAAAAGTGTTTTTAAAGGGCTGTGATAGTATTCACCAAACTTAGCCAATGGCTGTTCCTTGGGAGGAAGGGTGTGGGTGACATGAGAGACTATGATCAAAGGGTACTTAAGTATTGTCTGAATGCTTTCAGTTTTAATGAGGGGCAGGTGTTTAACTTGGGTAAGTAAAACATTAACTTGGGTTAGCATTAAAAAAGGAAAAATATGCCAGGCATGATGGCAGCACACCTGTAATCCCTGTGGCCTGGGAGGCTGAGGAAGGAGGATCTCAAGTGCTAAGCCAGCCTCAGAATGGCAAGGCACTAAGCAACTCAGTGAGACACTGTGTCTAAAAAAAAAATACAAAATGGGAGTGGGGATGTAGCTCAGTGGTTAAGTGCCCCTGAGTTCAATCCCCAATACAAAAAAAAAAAAAAAAAAGTACAAAATATGTGAGTGCAACCTCCCTATATATGAAAATGTGGTGAAGAGTTCTAAAGTACAAGTTACATAAAATTAAAAAGCAAGTTCCTTTCATGAATAAGTCCCATTCCCCTTTCCATTGCTAGGGAAACTACTCTAGTGGTTTTCTTTTCATTTGTTTTCTTTCAGATCCTTTAGAAATAAATGTGTATTTGGGTACAGTGGTACACACATGTAATCTCAGCGACTTGGGAGGCCGAGGCAGGAGGATCGCAAGTTCCATATCAGTCTTAGCAACTTAGTGAGACCCTGTTATTAAATTATTTGTCTTTGCTTGCTCTCTCTCCCCCTCTCCCCCGCCTCTCTAGATTTCTAACTTTAGACCCTCTTTCTCAGTCTCTTTATGACTTCTTATTTCTGACCATTTTTTAAAATGTTCTCCAAGTTTCCATCTTCTGCTAATGCGGTCTTCGATTTTTCCCTGTAGTCTCAGGACAAGCACCTCTACTGAAATACAAACTGAAGCCTTTCACTGATGTTTGCTAAGTTGATCCCCAGGTCACTAAAGAGTCTGGGGTGACCTCTCCAGCACCTTGTCATCTGGAGACAGGAAAGACCACCCCCACTTGAAGGCAGAATATGCCAGAGCGCCAAGATTTGGCTCCATCTGTAGCAAGGAGGTCTTGGCACCATGTGCAACTTGTGTGGTGCTGCCTCTGTGACTCAAGGAATAACGGCAGCTGGGTATGGAGGACCACAGGCTCAAGATCTGTGAAAAACCTCTATTTCCAGAAGAGCCTAGACTGTGGCCAGTAATCACCATTCTAATGGCTGAAACGCAGGTGCAAAAATGGCAGTTTTTGCATCAGAAGTCCATGGGCATCTTATGATCATCTTAGGCCAGCCAGAGACTCCAGGAAGTATGAGCAGAGGTCACCACATTCTCTTCACTGCAGGAGTCTCTGAAGGCAGTAACAAGAGTGCTTGTTGATTTGAATTTGGACAAATTCTAGAGCCTCTTGTTGGCAGAACCCTGCCCAAGCTGGGCACATTGCTAATTTGCAAGTAACAGCATAAGTGTGTTTAAGTTAAATTTGTAAGTAATAATACGATTAATAATATTACCTCCAGAATCCAAAAAGACCTAAAAGATGTTGGACATATATGTCCTTAATAACTGTGTCCCTCAAAAAACGTGCTCAAAGGAGGATTTCATAAAGGTAATAAACCTGTACTCCTGGAGAAAGGCAGAGATGGTTAGGACCTTGCCTGCAAATATTGTATACAGAAGCAGAATTGTTTAGGTACACTGTGGGTAGCCAGGTCAAGTCTGAACTGTGTCCCTTTGAAGCTATAGGCAAACTGTGATTGAGAGGTCATTGAAACAGGCAGACCTTACTAACCAAATCTAGACACCGTGATCAGTACCTTATACTACTTGCTGTTGGCACTTATTATCCACTAACACCCATGGAACATGTATACTGCCAAGCTGGGACACTATACCTGCTCAGTGCTTTGTAGAGAACCACCCTTTGTAGAGGACCAGGCTGAGAAAAATGCCCTCCCCTCACCACCCTCCCCGGCAAAACTTAACCTCAGCTGTTCCCCCTATCCTTTCTAGAATGCTAAGTGAGTATTTGCTGTTTGCATTGTTTTATTTTTTTTCTTTAGATGAAGGGTATCATTATATCACTGAGGTTGGTTTTGAACTCCTGAGCTCAAGCAATTCTTCTGCCTCAGCATCCCAAGCAGCTGGGACTATAGGCAATGGGCACTGGCACATGATATATACCCGTACCCCAACCCTGGGCTGTAACCCAGAACCTTCTGAATGCTAGACAAGTGTTCTACCACTACACCCCCCAGAACTACTTTGCTTTTTTTGTTTTGCTTAAATAGGTTATGATTCAAAGTTTTAAAAGTTTGAATATATCTCTTCCCTGCTCCCAACACAAAGCAGATACAAAGGAATATACGAACACATTTCTTGTTTTCTTTTTCTTTTTCTCTCTCTTTTTTAAAAAAAAATATTTATCTTAAGTTTTAGGTGGACACAATATCTTTATTTTACATTTATGTGGTACTGAGGATCGAACCCAGTGCCTCATGCATGCTAGGCCAGCGCTCAACCACTGAGCCACACCCAGCCCCCATATTTCTCTTTAATTTACAAAATGTTTTACAACAAATCCAATACAAAATATCTGTAATGAACATTTTGACTATGTATAATAATGAAACAAAGGCGTGTACTCACTCCCACTTAAGAAACTGAAGATATGCCTATGAATCCCCCGCCCCGCCAACCCAGTGCCTTTCCCTAATTTTTGTGTCCCACACTCCCCAGTCCTTGATTCCTGGGACACTTTCCCTTGTTGCTTTTCTTTTCTATATATTATTTTATCACATACATAAATTTCTGTACTCAACATTAGTTTTGCTTGGTTTGCACTTTATCACTTTATCTTTCTTTCACCAAATAATTTATTGTTCTAACATTTAGCCGTTTATTTTCATTGTTACATAGTTTTTCGTGCACTACCTCCTCCACAACATTTCAAAGGAGAGTCTGTGTGCAAAGACCTCCGCACAGGACCTGGCAGAGAGTGTCAGCCCTCCCTAAAAGTTGTTAAATTGTTGAATGACACTGAGCCCTTTTTTTAAAAATTTTCCTGGCTGGATTCTCTGCCCTTCGCTCCAGTGCTTAAGATCCTCCTAGCTCTTCTGCCCTGAGTTCATCATATTTACAAAATTTTGTGACCAGCAACCAGGAACCAGAAGTCCTCCCAAAGCAACTCAGACTACCCTTCCCAGGGAGCATTGCGGCACTCTTAGGTCATTTTCAATTTCCCTGCTCTTGAGGCACACTTCCGGGTCGTGTGGGCGGAGCCAAGAGAGTCCTCCAATGAGCAGCTCCGTGGTCTGAAAGGGCGGGGAAACAGCCCAATGAGCGTCACCGCAGAGGAGCCAATCAGCTGGAAGTTTGCTGGGGCCGCCGGCGGGGGCGGCGTCACTGAGCCGCGCCAGCTGAGCGGGTGGAGCCCGGCCCCTCTATCCTGCCTCCTCGGAGTGGTTTGCTCCTTGCTGCGCCGCTTGTGGACCCCCGCTTCCATGTCCCTGGTGGGCACAGCACCCCAGAACCTCCACGCCCATGGCTGCTAGCCTGAGGGAGCCCCCTTTCATCTCCTCTGCTTCCTCGTCCACCTGCGACACGGACGACGAGGGCGTGCGCGGCACCTGCGAAGATGCTTCTCTGTGCAAGAGGTGCCCGGCGGGCGCGGGGCTGGGGGCCGGCCCCGGGGTCGGGGCCTGGGTGTGGGGCGGGCCTGTGTCCGGGGACTGCTCCCGGACCCCGGAGAGGGATGCCGCGCGCAGCTCCAGCGACCCTCCGTAGCACCTGTGAAGCGCGCGGAGCAGGGGTTCCCGGCGCGTGTGAGCCTCGGTACCGGGAATGGGAGGACGGCGCTGGACAAAGCGCACACGGTCTGTGCCTTTTCCCTGGCAAGACGGACGGTCATGTTGCACACAGTAGCTACAACCTTGCTGGGTGTGGGAAGATTTCTCCTCCTTTGTAGGTTACATTTGGTGGTGGTCGTGATCCCCATTGTGCCCTTGAGACTCATGCCCATGAAGGGGAGGTGACTGTCCAGGGCCACATAATGTTTGTTTGCAGAACCAGTAGCACAGAGAGGCTTGAGAATTGGTGGTGTGGTAGGAGGTGTGTGTGTGTGTGGGGGGCATTTCCAGTGCAGGTGGACCTCAGAGAAAGAGAACACGAGGCTTGTGGGTCTTCTTTTCATTCATTCAGCTTATTTATTGGGAGAGGACTTCATGCCAGGTCCTTTCTTGGGGCTGATGAGTGGGGTTTCAGTCATTGTGAATAGATGGCAAGCAAGTATGTGTGGGACATACTGGAACTCACAGCCTAGTTGGGAAAGACAGAAAACAAATTGTTACTCGTGAAATCTATAATTATAACTTTGTGTTGTGTTGTGGGAGGTGCAAGGTGCCATTAGCGTTTGTAATTTAGACCGTGATGTTTAGGTAGAGAAGAAAATGCTAAGGTGTAGGAGAGTGTTCAGGCAGAGCAAGAGAGGAGTATGGATTGTTAGAACAACAGAAAGAACTGGAAGAAGCAGGCTGGGGTCAGAGTGGTATTGTAGAGTGGGGAATTCCAAAGTTTTGGATGAAGGATTGTACTTTTAATAGGTTCTTAGAGAATAAGTATAGTCGTTTGGGGCTTGAACTCTGAAGCCAGACTCTTGTGAAACTGATCTCTGCCACTTACAAGTTGTGTGAACTTTGGGCAAGTTCCAAACACATTCTGCACCACATTTTTCTGATCTGTAAAATGGGTGTGGTATTAATGTTCACTTGAAGGTAGTTTTGAGGATCCAACGACATTTAGTATTAGTTTAGCAATCAGAGCAGTGAGTGAGTTAGTAGGTGTTAGTGGTGGTTGATTAAATACATGAAAAGATCCATATGTAGTCAAGTCTCGGACTCAATTCCTGATGAGATTTATAAATTTAAAGAGATTACATTTGCCTTTATTTCTCCTTTTCAGGTATCTTTGATCATATCTATAACACTGTTGAATCAATAATGTATTTTTCTCATATTGAGTGTCATTTTCTCTTTTTTTAAATATTTATTTGTTAGTTGTAGTTAGACACAACACCATTATTTCACTTACTTATTTTTTTATGTGGTGCTGAGGATGGAATCCAGGGTCTTGCACATGCGAGGCGAGCGCTCTACCCCTGAGCCACAACTCCAACCCCTGGAGTGTCATTTTCTAAGAGACTCTTTAGTTCCATCAAAAGTTTCAGAGAGAAAATTCTTTTTTTAGAGAGAGAATATATTTTTTTTTAATATTTATTTTTTAGTTATCGGCGGACACAACATCTTTGTTTGTATGTGGTGCTGAGGATCGAACCCGGGCCGCACGCATGCCAGGCGAGCGCGCTACCGCTTGAGCCACATCCCCAGCCCCCAGAGAGAAAATTCTTTTCAGCAGTTCTTAGGGTCATACTAATTTAATATTTTTGGTAATTTTTTTTTTTTTGTAAACTTGCTTTCTTAAAACAAATAATGAGTCGGGCATGGTGGCACGCACCTGTAATCCCAGCGGCTCAGAAGGCTGAGGCAAGAGGATCACAAGTTGAAAGCCAGTCTCAGCAATTTAGTGAGACCCTGACTCAAAATAAAAAGGGCTGGGAATGTGGCTCAGTGGTTAAGCGCCCCTGGGTTCAAGCCTCGGTAACAAAACAAACAACAACAGATGTTGGCCTACTTTAGACCCATGAATCAGAATCTTCTGGAATATGTTCTAGTTATGAAGACTTCATGTTTTTGCCATCTGGATGCATTTCATCAGTGTTTTGTTTTGTTATCCACTGAGTTTTCCCTTTCTGAAAAAACATGCCATGAGAGTTTTTGAGAATTTTAAAATTAATTTTCTAATTATATTGCAGGACTCAATGTCTTTCAGTTTCTATGGTTCTGTAATCGACATCTGTACTATAATATAGTAAGCCCTTAAATTTTGGCAAAATTTATGATATTAGGATTTCTTGCATAAATTATGGACAAATTATTCTCCTCGTTGTGCCTCAGTCTTCTCATCTTTAAAATGGGGACAATACGGGTAATGTATCTTTTATGTGTGATGATCCAAATGTGATAATTAATGCAAAGTTGTTAGTACATGATTTGGCACAAAGTGAATCCCTCAATTATTAGTAATGTTTTTTCCTTGGTACCAGAGATTGAACCCAGGGGTGCTTTAGCACTAAGCCACATCCCCAGCCTTTTTTTTGTTGTTATTTTGGGACAAGGTCTCTCTAAGTTGCTTAGGGTCTCACTAAGTTGCTTAGGCTGGTCTTGAACTTGCGATCTTCCTGCCACAGCTTCCCAAGTTGTTAATATTACAGGTGTGCACCACCATACCTAGATTATTAGTAGTTTTGATTTCCCTTTAGTCTGGTATTATTATTATTATTATTATTTTATTATTTTAGAGAGAGAGAGAATTTTTTTTTTAATATTTAATTTACATTTTAGTTTTCGGCAGACACAACATCTTTGTTTGTATGTGGTACTGAGGATCGAACCCAGGCCGCACACTTGCCAGGGAGCGCGCTACCACTTGAGCCACATCCCCAGCCCTAGTCTGGTATTATTTGGTTGAAGTTGCTGAATATGTAGTAGCTGTGAGTCTGGTTGTTCTTTTAACTGTGGCCTGTAACCTTGACCTAGAGCCATAAAGTCCCATTGGTCAAACACCTGGTATGTCTCATTTTCGGGGCAGAAAATGGCCGGATTAAGGCATTTCTTAAGAGAAGGAGTTTTCGCTCTTATGGAACTTGATTGATCATGGTGAGAGCGATTATGATAAAGGAAAAGCGTACCTTCCCTTGCTTTCTTTTATACATACCCTCTGTTTTAATGAGCTTTGCATCACTGTGACCAGAATACTGATCAGAACAACTTAGAGGAGGAAAGTTTTTTGGGGGGCTCAAGATTTCAGCGGTTCAGTCCATTGCTGAGTCCATTGCTCTGGGCCCAAGCTAAGGCAGAGCATCAAGGCTGAAGGGCCCCTGTGGAGGGAAGGGGTTTGGGTAGGCCAGGAGATGCACTCTTCAGCACCATACCCCATGACCCACCTCCTCTAGCCACTCCTTTTATCTGCCTATAGTTACCACCCAGTCCATGCAAACTAGCATGTTACTGATTAGGTAACAGCTCTCACAATCCAGTTGTTCCATCTGTGAATATTCCTGCAGAAACACAGGGGCTTTGAGGGGACACCTCATATCAAAACCATAACACCTTTTCCCACCCGTCTGCTCCTCGTTCATATTCTGACTCAGGCAGGGGGCCTTTGCCAGGTTGGCAGCTTGCTGTGTCAATTTCCAGCCACCAGAATTGTGACCTGGATGAACTTCTTTGTCTTATAAAGTACCCAGTCACAGGTATTTATTATAGCAACACACGCAGATACCCACCCCTCCTTTCCTCACTCTGCCTGTCATGCTCTGGCCCAGGTCAGCTTCCTATTCTTTGTGTACCTGTGACTCAGTGTTCCTGCAAAATGAGCAGTGTGTCCTCTGAAGCTGCTACTCCATAATCAACAGCCCTCTACTTCCTCGGTCCCTCCTTAGCCACTCTGTCTCCTGTTGCCTTAACCTTGACACAGCCCTAAGGATGTCCTTTTCTTGAAGTCCTCTCAAGTGGTCCATCTGTGCGCTCCATCCTAGCGTGTTGCAGAATCAGGGTGTTGGAGATAGCATTTTCCCTGTTGTTGGTTCCCCACCCCATTTCTTGGGATCCATCAAACCTAACTGGACCCCTGCGCATTGCTGCAGTCTGCTCTCTCCTGGCCGCTACCCTAATTCATTAAAGGTTGGAGTCCTGGCCCATAATCCTCCACCTACCTCAGTCTTTGACACCATCCTTGGTGAACTTGGTGACCAGCCTACATCTGGGTACTCATTTCCTGAGTGCCTCACCTGCAGTGATCCTCTTCTCCTCTGCCTCCATCGCTCATCGCCACTGTGAAGTCCTGGATTGTCCCACTGAGGCTGCAGTGTCCTTATGAGCGGCCGCCCTCTCCAACCCCTTCCTTTCCAGGGGCTCCCTCAGTTTATGAACCCCGCCCTTTTCCTCGGGACCTCCCTGGTTTTCTCTTCCTTCAGTCCCTCTTCTGTTGTTACCTCTCCACTGAGCTTAGAGTTCCTGGTCACCATTCAGTAATTCAGTTGGCAATATCTTTGTTTCTCTGGCCCTTTAGTCACAGTAGACCTAAACGCCCACTTGAGCCAAACTGTCCATTTTTCTCCTTGAAGACTTAGGGTAGAAGTCACACAACAGGCAGCTTGACACTATTGTGAATTCACGTCAGCCAGCCTTACTGTGCCCTCAGCAGAGCCTGACCATTTGTCTGTCTCAAGTATTCTTCGGAATACGTGATTCCAGCATTTTCTACTTTCCTCAGACTTATGATTTACCTTGATCCCCGGTTGCCCAACAGAGAATGGACACCTCAGGGTGGAGCACTAACTTCCCTCTAAGAACCTTCACCATCCTCTCCTACTGTGACAGGTGTCACGTCCTCCAGAGACACACCTATAGCTAATGGCATATCACCCATTTGCAACTAGGGAGAACACAGACTAGGGGGGCTGTAGGTCATATCAATAAGAGGGTGTTGAAAAGAGCTTTTAGGATTTGGGTTTGGCTGGGTGATTGGGGAAGCAAAA